ACAGTCTTCTGTGTGTACATGTGTATGTGTAGACAGTCTTCTGTGTGTGTACATGTGTATGTGTAGACAGTCTTCTGTGTGTGTGTGTACATGTGTATGTGTAGACAGTCTTCTGTCTGTGTGTGCACATGGTGTATGTGTAGACAGTCTTCTGTGTGTGTGTGTACATGTGTATGTGTAGACAGTCTTCTGTCTGTGTGTGCACATGGTGTATGTGTAGACAATCTTCTGTCTGTGTGTGTACATGTGTATGTGTAGACAGTCTTCTGTGTGTGTGTGTACATGGGTATGTGTAGACAGTCTTCTCTCTGTGTGTGTACATGGTGTATGTGTAGACAGTCTTCTCTCTGTGTGTGTACATGATGTATGTGTAGACAGTCTTCTGTGTGTGTGCACATGGTGTATGTGTAGACAGTCTTCTCTCTGTGTGTGTACATGTGTATGTGTAGACAGTCTTCTGTGTGTGTGTACATGTGTATGTGTAGACAGTCTTCTGTCTGTGTGTACATGTGTATGTGTCGACAGTCTTCTGTGTGTGCACATGGTGTATGTGTCGACAGTCTTCTGTGTGTGTGTGTACATGTGTATGTGTAGACAGTCTTCTGTCTGTGTGTACATGTGTATGTGTAGACAGTCTTCTGTCTGTGTGTACATGGTGTATGTGTAGACAGTCTTCTGTCTGTGTGTACATGTGTATGTATAGACAGTATTCTGTCTGTCTGTGTACATGTGTATGTGTAGACAGTCTTCTGTCTGTGTGTGCACATGGTGTATGTGTAGACAGTCTTCTGTGTGTGTGTGTACATGTGTATGTGTAGACAGTCTTCTGTCTGTGTGTACATGTGTATGTGTAGACAGTATTCTGTGTGTGTGTGCACATGGTGTATGTATAGACAGTCTTCTGTCTGTGTGCACATGGTGTATGTGTAGACAGTCTTCTGTCTGTGTGTGTACATGTGTATGTATAGACAGTCTTCTGTCTGTGTGTGTACATGTGTATGTGTAGACAGTCTTCTGTCTGTGTGCACATGGTGTATGTGTAGACAGTCTTCTGTCTGTGTGTGCACATGTGTATGTATAGACAGTCTTCTGTGTGTGTGTACATGTGTATGTGTAGACAGTCTTCTGTCTGTGTGTACATGTTTATGTGTAGACAGTCTTCTCTCTGTGTGTGTACATGTATGTGTAGACAGTCTTCTGTCTGTGTGTACATGTGTATGTGTAGACAGTCTTCTGTCTGTGTGCACATGGTGTATGTGTAGACAGTCTTCTGTGTGTGTGTACACATGGTGTATGTGTAGACAGTCTTCTGTGTGTGTGTACACATGGTGTATGTGTAGACAGTCTTCTGTGTGTGTGTACACATGGTGTATGTGTAGACAGTCTTCTGTCTGTGTGTGCACATGGTGTATGTGTAGACAGTCTTCTGTGTGTGTGTACACATGGTGTATGTGTAGACAGTCTTCTGTCTGTGTGTGCACATGGTGTATGTGTAGACAGTCTTCTGTGTGTGTGTACACATGGTGTATGTGTAGACAGTCTTCTGTGTGTGTGTACACATGGTGTATGTGTAGACAGTCTTCTGTCTGTGTGTACATATGGTGTATGTGTAGACAGTCTTCTGTCTGTGTGTACATGTGTATGTATAGACAGTATTCTGTCTGTGTGTGTACATGTGTATGTGTAGACAGTCTTCTGTCTGTACATGTGTATGTGTAGACAGTCTTCTGTGTGTGTACATGGTGTATGTGTAGACAGTCTTCTGTCTGTGTGTGTACATGTGTATGTGTAGACAGTCTTCTGTCTGTGTGTGCACATGGTGTATGTGTAGACAGTATTCTGTGTGTGTGTGTACATGTGTATGTGTAGACAGTCTTCTGTCTGTGTGTACATGTGTATGTGTAGACAGTCTTCTGTCTGTGTGTACATGTGTATGTATAGACAGTCTTCTGTCTGTGTGTGTACATGTGTATGTGTAGACAGTCTTCTGTCTGTGTGCACATGGTGTATGTGTAGACAGTCTTCTGTCTGTGTGTGCACATGTGTATGTATAGACAGTCTTCTGTCTGTGTGCACATGGTGTATGTGTAGGTAGTCTTCTGTGTGTGTGTACATGTGTATGTGTAGACAGTCTTCTGTCTGTGTGTACATGTTTATGTGTAGACAGTCTTCTCTCTGTGTGTGTACATGTATGTGTAGACAGTCTTCTGTGTGTGTGTACATGGTGTATGTGTAGACAGTCTTCTGTCTGTGTGTGCACATGGTGTATGTGTAGACAGTCTTCTGTGTGTACATGTGTATGTGTAGACAGTCTTCTGTGTGTGTACATGTGTATGTGTAGACAGTCTTCTGTGTGTGTGTGTACATGTGTATGTGTAGACAGTCTTCTGTCTGTGTGTGCACATGGTGTATGTGTAGACAGTCTTCTGTGTGTGTGTGTACATGTGTATGTGTAGACAGTCTTCTGTCTGTGTGTGCACATGGTGTATGTGTAGACAATCTTCTGTCTGTGTGTGTACATGTGTATGTGTAGACAGTCTTCTGTGTGTGTGTGTACATGTGTATGTGTAGACAGTCTTCTCTCTGTGTGTGTACATGGTGTATGTGTAGACAGTCTTCTCTCTGTGTGTGTACATGATGTATGTGTAGACAGTCTTCTGTGTGTGTGCACATGGTGTATGTGTAGACAGTCTTCTCTCTGTGTGTGTACATGTGTATGTATAGACAGTCTTCTGTCTGTGTGTGTACATGTGTATGTGTAGACAGTCTTCTCTCTGTGTGTGTACATGTATGTGTAGAGAGTCTTCTGTCTGTGTGTGCACATGGTGTATGTGTAGACAGTCTTCTGTCTGTGTGTGCACATGGTGTATGTGTAGACAGTCTTCTGTCTGTGTGTGCACATGGTGTATGTGTAGACAGTCTTCTCTCTGTGTGTGCACATGGTGTATGTGTAGACAGTCTTCTGTCTGTGTGTACATGTGTATGTGTAGACAGTCTTCTGTGTGTGTGTACACATGGTGTATGTGTAGACAGTCTTCTGTGTGTGTACATGTGTATGTGTAGACAGTCTTCTGTCTGTGTGTACATGTGTATGTGTAGACAGTCTTCTGTGTGTGTGTACACATGGTGTATGTGTAGACAGTCTTCTGTCTGTGTGTGCACATGCTGTATGTGTAGACAGTCTTCTGTCTGTGTGTGCACATGGTGTATGTGTAGACAGTCTTCTGTCTGTGTGTGCACATGGTGTATGTGTAGACAGTCTTCTGTCTGTGTGTACATGTGTATGTGTAGACAGTCTTCTGTGTGTGTGTACACATGGTGTATGTGTAGACAGTCTTCTGTGTGTGTACATGTGTATGTGTAGACAGTCTTCTGTCTGTGTGTACATGTATGTGTAGACAGTCTTCTGTCTGTGTGTGTACATGTGTATGTGTAGACAGTCTTCTGTCTGTGTACACATGGTGTATGTGTAGACAGTCTTCTGTCTATGTGTACATGTGTATGTATAGACAGTCTTCTGTCTGTGTGTGTACATGTGTATGTGTAGACAGTCTTCTGTGTGTACATGTGTATGTGTAGACAGTCTTCTGTCTGTGTGTGTGTACATGGTGTATGTGTAGACAGTCTTCTGTCTGTGTGTGCACATGGTGTATGTGTAGACAGTCTTCTGTGTGTACATGTGTATGTGTAGACAGTCTTCTGTGTGTGTACATGTGTATGTGTAGACAGTCTTCTGTGTGTGTGTGTACATGTGTATGTGTAGACAGTCTTCTGTGTGTGTGTGTACATGTGTATGTGTAGACAGGCTTCTGTCTGTGTGTACATGTATGTGTAGACAGTCTTCTGTCTGTGTGTGTACATGTGTATCTGTAGACAGTCTTCTGTCTGTGTACACATGGTGTATGTGTAGACAATCTGTCTGTGTGTGTATATGTGTAGGTGTGGAAGTTGTGCACATATGCCTGTGGAGGCCAGTAAATACTGTGGTGTCATTCTTCAGGAGCCATCATGTTTGCTTTTGTTGTTTTTTATTTGAGACAAGGTTTCTCACTGGCCTGGAACTTGCTAAGTAGGCTAGACTGGTAGCCAGCAAACCTCAGGTCCCCACATGTATCTCCTTGTTTAGAGCCGGGGCTTAAAGCACACACCCGACGCTTTTACTTCCGTCATGGGCTCCACCTCAGTTCCCTCTCTCTTGCAAAGAAAATCCTTTACAGCCGCATCATACCATCTTTTTGCATGGGGTTTAACAGACTTTAAATCTACAGACAATAGGAAAACATACTTTCTCATCCTGCAGCACTCAAATGGGGTAAACCACCGGAATTTAGACTAAATAAGAACCATTAGACTACATGTGTGAACCTAGGACTCCCGTAGCATTATGAAGCTAAGCACTAATGCTCTCATAGCCCCTCTTTCAGAAACCACTTTCACACACTTCCCAAATAACTAAGGTCGGTCAGAAGAGTCAAAGGAGACACAATTCTTAGCCCATTTTTTCGATGCTAAAAAAAAGTGTGTCTATGTAGATGTGTGTGCTATGGCAGTCAGTTCTCTCCATCCACCTCTGTGGATTCTAAGGATTGAATTCGGGCCACCAGGCTCGTGTGGTAAGCACCTTTATTCACTGAGCCATCTCACTGGCCCAGTATTCTTACTATGTAAAGTGCATATTAGTTATTTATAGAGACTCAGAAAAGGATCTTTAAAAGATGGCTTAGACCCACCTAGTGTCTCTGTCCATCCCTTCTTCTGTCTTGTTTTGTTTTGTTTTTGTTTTTTGAGACAGGGTTTCTCTGTAGCTTTGGAGCCTGTCCTGGAACTCACTCTGTAGATCAGGCTGGCCTCGAACTCACAGAGATCCACCGGCCTCTGCTTCCCTAGTGCTGGGATTAAAGGTGAGCACCACCACCACCCGGCTCTGTTTCTTTTCACTAAAGGGTAAAGCAGCTCCTTATTTCAGTTGCAATCCCCACCCTCCTCCATGCGGCACTCACTGTTACACTGGTCACAAGCGTAGATTCTTCCCTCCAGGGCCTCTGTCTCTGTAAACTTGGCCAGCATCTCAGTGAGCAGGCACTCTGTCTGATTCAAAGGGACAAACCCCTTTTCTATGCAGTGGTAGCGTTCAGGGAATTCCAGGGACAGATCCCAAAAGGGCTCAATGGTATTAGATTTATAATTGCATGATACACATGTAACCTAGAACGACAAGATTGGTTTGCAGATTATATAATTTCCATGCTTCCCACATACAATTTTGCTTGTTTTATAGGAGACATATAAATTTACCAACCACTTCCCCCCAAAAGGTTAGTAAGAACTGAAGTAACTTTACTAAAAGCATTGGAGCATATGATGTGTGGCTGCATTTCTAACCATGCTGTAACTAACAAGTTGAGGAACTACAGGGTACCCCTTGCTTTCTCCCCTTTTCCCAATGAATGCTGTCAGAGGCACTTGAGGAATTGGCTGAGGGAGGACTGCAGGCAGGTCACTGTCTGCTTTGTTCACCCCCAAATTCTTCTTTTACTTGGTCCTTCCATGTGGCAAATCTACCTGTTTTCTCTCCTTCCTTCCTTCCTTCCTTCCTTCCTTCCTTCCTTCCTCTGTCCTTTCTCCCACATCCCCCTCATTCTTATTTTTATTTTCCTTTGACAGAGTCTTGCTGTATATTCCCTACTGGTCTTGAACCCTGTTTCTCTTGTCTCAGCCTCAAGTGCTGAGGTGATGATACTTATCACCGTCACACCTGGTTTAGCTGTTTCCTACAGCATCCCATCTGCTGTGGTCAGACTTCCTCTACTAGTATAATATTCCCAGATGCAGAAAGGAGGGGGAGGACTCAGTTTCCCTCCCTAGCCTACTCACCAGTCTTTTCACAATCTTAATAACTGAGGCACAAAACCTCTGATACTCAGTGTAGAGGCTCTAACACAAGTCTCCTAACATTGCACACCTTTTTAAAAAATCTGTAATAATTCCTTTTGTGTATATTTTTATAAAGCCTGGGGATCTTTGCTTAGGTCTGGGCAGGGTCTTGATCCTGAAAGTGGACTACTGGGGGGGGGCATACTTTGGGGGTGATGGGGGAGTCATGGGCAGTGGGAAGGAGGCTCGCTTGGTCTTTGGCATACTCCCAACTGCTTCTTATAAATAAAAGGGAAGGCTCTTTCAAATGACTTTGAAAAGAGTACTCTACACAAACTGTTCAGTTTTGTAAACTGGACAGAGAACAGCCACGTTCACCTACATGGTTGCCAGTGTACAGTGTCAGGTACAAACAACCATTTAGCCCAGGAATCTGGGAGCCCAAACTACCACCCGCACTTCCCACCGTGCTTCAGCACCTACCTGACTGAGCAGCTGCCCATGAAATATGGTATTCACCACCTTTAAGACCTGTTTGGTGAGCTTCCTCTGGGAGAAGGGGATGAGAATCCGGCGCGTCGAGCCCTCAGACTCGAGTTCCTGCTGCACCTTGTGCAGCAGCTCGCAGAGAAATTCCTGTGCGTCCTGCTGGTCATAGCCACGGAAGGCAGGAATGAGGCTCCATACCGAATGAAGCATGGCAAAGGGCGACACCAGCGCCCACTTCCCAGACCACATGACTCGGAAGAGGGTGTGCAGTTCGTGGCAGAGGGAAATGTGCTTTGAGCTGGGTTCCTTGTTCTGAATGAGTTCCAGACTCCTACTGATGGAGGTTCCACTGTTCCAGCAGAGGCCCTGAGGTTCGCACCCCTGGGCCCGGTCGCTCCTTACCGACAGCTCCGTGGCAGAGGTGCTGGCTGGCCTACCAGAGAGCTGAGCCTTCCCGTTGGTTGCTTGGGGAAATAGGTGCTCCGAGGTGGAAGGATCGAGGTTCAGGAAACATTCCCGGAACTTCTGGAGGTGGCTGAGCACTTGGAGGATGGAGTTCATGTAGCAGGTGTTGCCTAGGTTGCGGAGGCCGGTGACACCTGGGGCCATCGCCGGCTGACGGCGTGGCTTGAGGGCAGCTGCGGGCGCGCGCCGGGAGGTAGCGAGAGCAGCCGCGCGCATGGCCACAGGCCCAGGCGCGTGCAGGAGCAGGCGTGCACTCTTCCGCGGCGGTGCGCTGGCCAGCTCCTCCAGCAGCCTTCGCTTGACCTCGCGCCTCCGCTGCCGCGCTGCCTCCTTCTTGCGCTCCAGAACCTCCTCCCGCCGCCGCTGCTCCAGCTGCGCTCGGCCCCTGGAGCTCTTCTCAAACCACAGTCGCAGTGTCTTGGCTAACAAGTGCTGACGCCGGTACCACAGAGCCGTGAGCATCTGCGGCTGTCCCTGAGGAGTGCGCTGCGGTGGAACCACGTCCTCGCCTGCAGCAGTGGACCGCAGCATCCGCCCACGCCTCGTGGGCTGGTCCTGCTTCTGGCCTTGAACCGCCAGGAGGGAGCTTCTCAACAGCTTCAGGTCCCCCTCGGGGTTGTCATTGAGCACGTAGTCCTTGCACAGGTAGCAGAACACGTAGAGATCCCGGACCTCCATGGCCAGCGGGTGTCCGGTCTCTTCAAAGTGTTTCAGTGCATGGTCTTCAATGTAGCGGCCGCAGGCCACGTGGGAGCACTTGAGGCAGGCCCACGCAGACTCCGTGGTGGAGCACTCCAGACAGCGCCATTTCTGAGGGTTCAAGATGGAGTGGTCCTGGGCGAGCCTTAACCGCCCCACATGTTTGCATCTATCCATGTTTTAGCGCAGTCGCCACCTTCTTATTCTGGAACCACAAAGCCCCCCAAGACGGGGGAAAAAGAAGCAGAATTTCAGCAAAATATTTTCCTAGAAAGAGGGCTGCAATTGGCATTTCTGTGCAAGATTTATTAGTTTTTAATTCTAAACTTGTTCTTTTGAAAGTCCAAACTGGTATTTCAAGTATCACCAAGAGAGAGACAAGAGCCTCAAAACAAAACCAACCTGACCTTAGTCAATTTCAGTGTATCTCAAAGAAAAGGTACAGAATAAGGGAAAGATAAAAAGAAAGTAAATTGACACCTAAGGAGCAGAGCCCAAGGCTCAATTGAAGTAACATTTTACAAGTTAGCCTTTCTGAAGAGAACACATTTTGTAGAAAGAATGGTAAAAACTCTGCACCATCTTTACTGACAAGTAAAAACACAGATGAATCTCATAGGAGATGGTGTAGCTAGTGGGACAGTGTTTAAGCTAACTACCCAGACACAAGAAAACAGAAGCGTTGTTTGCTTCCCTTCCTTTTTGAGACTAACTTACTCTGTAGCCCGGGCTGGCCCAAATTGGTGGCAATCCTCCTACCTCAGCAAACAAGTGTTGGGATTACTAATCTCTAATACTGTTTTTATTGTTGTTGCTTGTGTCTTTTGTTTGTTTGGTTTGGTTTTGAGACAGGGTCTCACTATATTGCCCCAGCTAGCCTGGAACTCATATGGAGGCCAGGCTGATCTTGAACTCAGAGATTACGTGCTCTCTACCTCCAGTACTAGGATTACAGGTGTGAACCACCATGTCTGGTTTTTAGTGTTCTGCATATGGAAAATATAGTAGTTATCTTCTCCAAGGGAATTAAGCTGAACAAATATTTTTAAAATATTTTATTGTTTGGAAACCTTAAGTTTTCCCAGGATTAAAAATATCCCAAAGGTGCCAGGCCGTGGTTTTGTACACCTTTGGTCCCAGCACTCAGGCGACAGAGGCAGGTGAATCTCTGACTTTGAGGCCAGCCTGGTCAACAGAGCAAGTTTCAGGACAGCTAGAGCTACAGAGAACATCCTAAAGACATTTCTCTAAATTCTTTAAAGTTATCTATTGATTTATTTATTTTTAAGATGGGGTCTTGCTATTATGTAGCTCTGGCTGTCCTGGAACTTGCTCTGTAGATCAGGCTGCCTTCAACTCACAGAGATCCACCTGCCTCTGCCTTCTGAGTGCTGGGATCAAAAGCATGCATCAACATCATCCAGCTAAAAGTTTTTTGTTGTTGTTGTTTTGTTTTTGTGTTTTGAGACAGGGTTTCTCTGTGACTTTGGAGGCTGTCCTGGAACTCACTCTGTAGACCAGGCTGGCCTCGAACTCACAGAGATCCGCTTGCCTCTGCCTCCCAAGTGCTTTTCTTTCTAATGTTGGCTTTACATTCATGGATTTAGTAGCTCCTGATCAATGGGAGAAATAAAACACTCTAACAGAAAACAAACAAATAACACCTCAAATCAAAAAAGGAAAGCCATCTATACTACCCTAATCAAGATAAAGATTTCCCTTTGAGTACTAGCTTCCACTGTATTACTTCTCTAATCATTAGTCATTCTTATTCTCTGGATGTGTTTATCCATTCTGACTAGATGTAATCTTCTTCAGAGAGTTCCTGTGTTGGACTATAGGTTGAACTAGATTTATTACATCATTTAAAAATTGTTAGAGATTTATTTTATTTTTAATTATGCGTATGTGCACATGACTGTAGAGGCTAGAAGAGGAAGCTGGATGCCCTGGAACTGGAATTACAAGCTGTTGAGAGACGCCAGATTGTAGGTGCTAGGGACTAAACTTGGAACCTCTGCAAAAGCAGGAAGCACTCAACCCCTAAGCCATCTCTCCAAGAGATGAATGAACATTATATATTATCGTTGTTTAAAAGAATTATTCACCAATATGAAAATGTCTTTTTGTTGTTGTTGTTGTTTTCGAGACAGGGTTTCTCTGTATTGTTTTGGAGGCTGTCCTGGAACTTGCTCTGAAGACCAGGCTGGCCTCAAACTCAGAGATCTGAACATGTCTTTTAATTGGATTATTCCCATTATTCTCACACAGGAAGTGTTAGCAATGTGTAACTGCATCATCAGATAATTTCAATGAATAAAATAGGAAATAAATTAAGGAAATCTCTATAGGAAGATCTCTCTTTCTTGCCCTCTCTCTAAATTTTCTTTTTCTCAGTTCTTATCTAAGGACCAAGGAATTCCTCCTTGGTCTTGGTGAGACCAAACGGCATATACCCCAGCTCAGAGACAGTAGACACTATGGTACTGTGCTGACAACCTTTAGTTACATAAAAGAATACTAATTATGTGGTATCATCAACATCTGTGATTCTGCTCATTGCCATATGCAACCTCACTGGATATTTTAGCCCTTCTCTCTACTAAGTGAACCCACAAAATGTACACAGACTGCAGAGGTGACATAGTAAGGATACTTTTAAATGTGCTAAATGAGGGTGGTGTTTGGAGGATCAATAGAGCCATGTGTATCACCACGTGTCACTCCAGCAGTCTGACCTAACCCAGGGAAAGCTGGGTGCCCCTTCAGCACCTGGGAATTGGCCTAAGCCCACCTGCTCACTGCGTTCCAAGTGCCATGGGACTGGGGCAGGGTCTGCTTCCCGCAGACCAGCCAGTTTGTGGGGTTCCTGTAAGATCCTGGTGTCCTTACCGGTGCAGCCCGTCTTCTTTAATGTCTTCTTCAGGAGCTCCAGCTTCTTAGGCAGGCTGGAGCCGCCCTCCTCACCACACATGCTCAGTTCCTTCGGGATGCAGACCCCACTTCTAGGCTTGTTTTAGCACCTGCTGTGCTGCAGTGCCCCCAACCCTTGCATCTAGGGTTCTGCACCTGGAACTTGTGCTGGCCCTGTGCCATATTCTGCCGTGTAGGGTGTTTGTTACTAATATTTTATTCTCAAGGCACAGGAGAAAATATAATTCATTGTCAACATGTGTTTCAGAAGGGTGCGCTGGTCTATATCTGTAATCACAGCACTCAGATCTCTAGTCTTTTGAGGCTAGCCTAGTCTGCATAGCAAGTTACAGGAGGCTAGCCAAGGCTAAAAGGAGGCTAGCCAAGGCTAAAAGATAACCAAAACAAAACAACGACAGCAAAATTATCCTGAAGAAGAAGGGAGGAGGAGGAAGTGGAGGAGGAGGAGGAGGAGGAAGAAGAAGAAGAAGAAGAAGAAGAAGAAGAAGAAGAAGAAGAAGAAGAAGAAGAAGAAGAAGAAGAAGAAGAAGAAGAAGAAAAAAGTCAAAGGTTTTACCCTGGACATGGTGGCTCATATCTCTACTCCCAGCACTAGGGAGGCTAAGGCAGGAGGATCACAGCAAACTGAAGGCCAGCCTGGGCTACATAGTAAGTTCTAGGCCAACCTTTGTTGACCAGGACAAAGAAAGACCATCTGAAAGGAGAGAAGGAAGAAAGGCAGGCAGGCAGGTACTAGCTGATGGCCCTTGGCCATGGATGATGGCTTCTGATGTGCGGCTAACGCCCTCCCAAGGTGTGCTCTTGTCTGCTGTCAGCAGTCAAGCCCTAATGCTAAGAATAAGTTACATGCCAGGTCACAGCAGGGTTATAGTCAAGTAAGCCTGCTGAGGTTTCAATTACATTAGGATTTGCTTTCTTTGACGAGAAAGGAATAAAGCTTCATCTACAAACACTGGTCTCCCCCAGCCTACAACACTGGTCTCCTCATGGAAAGAAGCCATTCCTACCATGATGGAGGCGATGATAAAGACAGAGTCAACCGACAGCAAATGAACACAAATGCTTTGCACCAAATAGCGACATCCCTAGCCCCAGAAAGCCCCAGAACCAGGTCCCTGTGTCCACACCCTCCTCTGCTCTGCCGTCTGCCTCCATCCTCTGGCTGTAGATATGCTTTCTCCATGTCCTGCCTACCTTATCTCTGGCAGGAGCAATGTGCACACCTGTAATCCCAGCACTCAGATGAGACAGATATTGGGGTTCAAGCTGAAGATCAGAAAAGCAAAGCAGTCAGCCACTAGCTCTTACTCTACCTCAGACTAAAAGGCCATCCTGGCTCCATGAATCTTCAGCGTGGCTGGAGACTGAATGCCTTGAGACCCTGAGCTCCTAGGGATTCCCTCGTCCCTGACTCCCATCTCACCTCAGGAGCCTGGTATTACAGATATGTGCTTGTCATGAAAGCTTGAGGACTGTGAGAAATATTTGTTTAACTATGTAAAGATGTGCTGCTGCTTTACCTTGCCTGCCTAAGACACCTGATGGCTCTAATAAAAAGCTGAATGGCCAAGAGTGAGGGAGGATATAGGCAGAACTTATGAGCAAGGGAGCGTAAGTACGAGGAGGAATTTAGGCTGGAGAAGAAAAAAGAGATGTCAGGGAGACGCCAGAGGCCAGACAGACAGACACGGAGTAAGCAGGAAAGTAGGACATACAGAATGAAAATAAGGTAAAAAGCCCTGAGGTGAAATGTAGATGAATAGAAACAGGTCAAATTAAGTTAAAAGAGCTAGTGGGACACACCTAAGCTAACAATCATTCATAATTAATAATAAGTCTCCATGTCTTTATTTGGGAGCTAGTTGGAAGTCCAGAGAAAATTTCAACAGAGGACCTGAGTTCAGATCCCCAGGAACCATGTAAAAGTTAAGCATGGTGATGCATGCTCGTAACTTTAGCTGTCATTCGTCAACTGCTGTAGCTGAGTCAGTGAGCTCCATGTTCAGTGAGACATCCTGTCTCAAAAAAGAAGATGGAGGGGCTAGAAAGATGATTCAGTGGTTATGAGCACTAGCTGTTCTAGAGGACGAAGTTCTTTTTGGGGGGAGGGGAGAGTTTGAGACAAGGTTTCTCTGTGAGGCTGTCCTGGAACTTGCTCTGTAGACCAGGTTGGCCTTGAACTTAGAAATCTGCCAGCTGAGGATGAAGGTTTTATACCCATTATCTATAGGGAAGTCCACAACTGTCTATAACTCCAGCTCCTGGTGACCT